ACTAATTATAATAATAATCTTATAATAATAATATAATATAATAATATAATAATCTAATAATCTTAATAATTATAATGGATCTGAAAAATAGTTTCCCAGTGACATTTCGAGACTAAGAAATCAAAATACACAAATAGTATTTTCCACTTCCATTCTTATCTAGTAGAACAATTCTTTGGTTAAGAATTGGTTTAAATACGTTTTCTCAGACCTGATTGGCTTTTTTCTTGCAACACAATAACTCTTTGTCGAGACAAACAAAAAAGAACCTTTGAAAAAATGTCAGAGAAAATAAGCAAATCGAGCAGAGTGTGACAGAACTAGATGTGTTGAAAAGTTTCCCTGAGGTTTACTTCAAAAATAAAGAAAGTTGCTGTGTCCCCAAAAGAAGTCAAGTTTTTCTTGCTGTCTTCTTATGTTCTGGGCAACCCTCAAGTTAAATTTTTCCTTTGGAAGCCATTTGGCAACCACCTCCAGGGGTGGACAGAGGATTTTGTGATAGAGGGGGCCTAGAGATATAGTATACAGTGGCATTATGGGCACAATAGCGCCCATCAGGACTGCGAGTGGGGCACTCTTCTAGGGAGGTTCGGATGCATGCTCCTCTGTGAAAATTTTTGAGATTGAAGTTCTCTGAGATGCAATCTAGTGCATTCTGGATGCTTAAATCTAGCAAATGCCTGGATTCCATTTTCAACATGTAATTCTGAAATATTTAACTAACCACAAAAGAGGAGGAGGGGGGGCCTGGGCCCACCCCTAAGTGCATACTGTAACTTATAATCCATGTCCAGTAACATCCATGTCGTTGCTTAAAGTATTAGTATTCTCTGGTTGCCAACTTGGCAAATATTCTCCAAAACAAGTCGCCAGAACCAAAATTTTATTCGCCGTGGCATCTAAAGTGGTCACAGCTCGGAGGGTTAGCATAATGAAATTTAACACTTGGCGTCACCTCGTGGCTTGCTGTTTAAAAATACCTTAAAAAGACGCTTTATTTTTTAGTTTTTCATCGAAATATCGGGTTAAAAACAAGCAAACATTAATTTACTGTTAGAATTCATCAAATATACAAGGCTTTAAAGGCAAAAAGCTAAGCGGCAAGGAATTCGCTGAGTTTGAAGAGTAGCGGAGAGTATGTGTGGTTTGCACGCAAAGATTAATTCTTACCTCGATTTTTGCTTGTTATCCTCCAGAATCCTTCAAATTAATTTGCTTCACTTGTATTTAGTCAAAATTCGTCGATACAAGCTTTCATTCTTCGCAAAACCCGCAACAAAATTCTTGCCGCATTTCTCACTGAGTTTTCAAGCAATCGTGGCGTGAAGCTAATAACCCACCGGGGGCTGGGACTAGCCAAATCAACGTCAAATTTGGAGGCAATAGGAAGTAACGCAAAGCTCGAAGGGGCGGGGGAGGCGGGGGCGAGAAACCGCCCCCCGCCCCCTTAGTAGTTTTGACACTCATGCAATATGGCAGACCGTAACGCAAAGCTCTCGATCTCGATGATTACGGAAAAATAGAGGACTGTGTACAGTCTACTAAATATGATTTGTAATGCAGCAAAGAAATAATTAAATCACCGCAAACGGCATCATGTCCAGATGGATGTTACTAAGTATTTAGCTCTTCTTGATCAATTTCTTACGAAAGACATCATTGGTTCGTGTGCACTAGCCAAAATTATTAATTTCATGATAGACAGTGAGATGTCCCAGAAGCAAAAAATTGATATGATCTGCTCCATTATTAGTACTATTAGCCTTTCGTTCCCTCTAGCCTTTATAAATCTTATCTTTCATTGTGCTTTACAATTCTACATGACTTGCATAAACGTATCTCTTGTGTTAACAACTACTTTATTTATTGTTCTGCAGCTGCCTGAGGTAACTGCTTCCACCATCTGATGTACCGTTACGACTCCACTTAGTAACTCCAGAAAGTTGGGTAGAATGAAACTCCCTGCTGCCGACTTCTCTTAAGCCTCTACACCAATGTCAAACGGCGGGCGGTTGCTGTTATTCGAAATCGCTTGAGCTGCTCAACTTGTCTGTCATCATGGCTGCGAGAAGCGAAACGATAATGATCTATAAAACTGACAAGCCATCTTTTCCTTTTATTACATTCATTATTTATTGTGGAAAGCGTTGAAAATCACGCTCTTCCCAACGCCCCTTGGAAGAATCGAAAAAACGTCCTTGCTTTAATCGAGATTCTTCTAGCAAATTTCGCTCATCTCGCAGAAAATGTTCGAATGCCTCGTTTATAATAGCTTCGATGTCTAAGTGATTCGATAACAGATGATGCCTATTGCATTTCTCATCAACATCACAGGCACTTGAATGTTAACAGAAGCTGTGTCATAATCGACCAATGAGAGGGTACACTTGAATCCAGTATACCGAAACGATCGACCTTTGGAGAACGTTGACAGGCGTTCCCTCGCTCTCGTCCAATTCCCCTCGCTTTTTTCTCCTTGTTTCCTGTGCATAAAATGATTCAACTCGCTCCCCACCATCCGAACACTGCGCTCTACATGACTGACTCTCGACAAACAGTCGGGCAATATAAAAGAGTCATTTTGGCATAGTCGAAAAATTTTTCAAAAGGGGTTCACCCATGATTTTGGTCAAAAATTAAAAATTTCTCTCAAGTCTGATTTTCTTTGAAAAAGGCCTAGGCATGTATTTTTATGATGTTGTTTCTAAAAAAGTAGGCTTTGTAGACTATAAAAATGTCATTGCGACAGAGTCGAAAAAATTGGCATTTTTCCAAAGGAGTTAACCCATGATGATTTTCGTCAAAGTTTCAAAATTTCTTTCGAGTCTGCTTTTCTTTGAAAAGGGCCTAGATATGTATTTTTATGATGTTGTTTATAAAAAAGAAGGCTTTTTAGACTATAAAAATGTCTTTTGTACATAGTCGAAAAAATTGCATTTATCCACCGGGGGTTAACCTAAGATTTTGGTCAATTCCAACTTTCTTTCGAGGCGGCACGATGGTTGGTTGCTACGGCTTTTCCTCCCGCAACTTTGTAAATTCAATTTATGGCTCACAGAGGTCTTCGTCGTTACCAACCTGATAGCCTGTAATCAGCACGCTTCTAGGTTTTCGCTTTGAAGGTATTTTCAGCCAGTTTGACGAACAAGTTTTTTCCAGTCGACTAAGTTTAGCCCGGGTGACTTACATTATGACAAGATAGCTTGAATCTGAGGATATAACATTTGAGAAAAAATAACTCGCTTACGGCTGGAGTAGTATTTTAAAAAGTACCTGCCTCTTGAAGTAACCGTAATAAACGTGATCCTGCACAAAACCACCGTTACGTTCAATTAACACTGATGAGCTGTTATAACGAAAAGCAGCTGTTAAATATTACACGCTTCAAATTCTGAAGTATTATTTTACGGTTAGATTTCTTTAAAGCACCTGCTAACGACTGCCACTTGTTGCCATGGAAGCGGTTATTAGCAACAAAGTGCGGGTATCTTTTTACTGCTGCCAAAATTATCTGTATTTGTGATTCTCGATTTCAAAAGTTAAATTCTCCTCCTCCACGACTTAACCAGACTTTCAACTTCACAAAAAAGGACTTTTTACATTTAATTTTGTTTTACTAGAGGAACAAGGCCAAACGAAGCATTTGAACAATTTTTCCAACATTTGGAACTAGTGATACGTCGTCTTCTCTATTTCTCTATTTACACGGTTAACATCACAAGTTATTACACGGTGAGTTTTTCTTAGTGTACATCGCTACATAAAATATCAAAAAAAGATACTTATCTTTGTACGGATAATGATAGATGATGTGTACCGTATATAAGTATTTGCAAAGAACCGTTTCTTCGCAGATTTCGATAAACAGTGTTTAAGCTTATGTACAAGACTATAGTTTGCATAAAATATACATATTTTTCAAACGTCTCTAATTTACAACCAACAAAATCATTTACATAAATCTTGAATTGGTCAGCTCTATAGTTTAAATAACCGGCTGCGATATTGCGAAGACTGTATTAGCTTCAAGTTTTATCGAACAAACCTCTTCATTGATTGAATTCACCATATAAATAATGTTCTATTTTTCATTTTGATCTTCGTAATAAAAAAAGAAAAGAAAAAGTTAAACAGTATTGTGAACTCGATGAAAATCTGTTTTAAACATTTCTTTTTTGCAATGGAACCAAAAAGAGGGAACTATCCTTATTCAAATTCTTTATTCGTAGTTTATAGTTTTTCTTTAACAAGTGCAAACGTTTCAATTTTACTATTATTTGACTTTCACACAAAAATATATAAGTCGGCTTCTAATTTGCCTTCAATTTATTAAGTCTCGTATTTGCTTAATACTGACCGTTGATTCGATTGTCTAAATTCATGCCAGCTAGATGACAAATTGTTTTATTTAAATATTTGTCATGAAGTCTATGAGATTCGAACTAAGTTTACCACTAAGGTAAGTGCATGGTTAGCAGAAGAGAGGGGATTAAATTAGAAGACTTGAATTCTGCGTTTATGCGAAGATATCTCGTAGTGACTTGAGATATGATTGCATGAACACGATCATATGGATTTTATCAACCGTGCAGAACCCGCGCTAACGAAAGAGCTCAAAACATCCATGATTACTTAAAATGTTTCATTACTGCCGTAATTGTAAAAATTAAAAATTGTACTACACACAGCCCGCACATTCTTGATTCCCTATGGCAAACGGTTTACCCTCGGAAAGTTAGGTCCTGAGTTTCTTCGGCTCCGACGACCAGATGACTGTAGTTTAGTATGCAAACTCACTTTTTGGTGGTAATGCTAATCTTGGCGATTTTTCATGCAGTAAAAACCCTACGTATAAGTGTCATTGATCATGCGTGATGCTGGATTTTTACCCAATTTTTTTTTTTTGCATTTTCACGGACCGTCTTTGCTTCTATTGCCAGCAAAATTTCGCTTCATGCTACCCGTTTGCCATCTCTCCTCTTCCAGATAACAAAGTAAAAATGTCAGACATTGAAAATGAAATGGATGCGCGGTTTGAGGTATAGTAAGTTGTCCTTCTTAAACGATTCTTTTTATTGTTTTTTTAACCAAATCTATTCAATGTTCAGAAAATTTCCCACAAATTTAAATTTTTGAGTAGATTCTTTTCCTCAAGAACTTCTTCATTGTTTCCTTTACAATTGTTTCATTAGGAGTTGGCAGAAATTATAAGGAACGAAAGCAAGCCAGGAACTCGAAAGAATTCATCAAAACGTAGAAATGATAAAGAGGAGAAGTCCAAGGCACGTAAATAGCTTCAGTTTGGACAAACCGATCATAACTTTGTAAGAGCAAAATTTCAAGCCCCATAATCCCGAATATTTTTTTTTTTGGCCAAGCCGTATCTTGCACGCCTCAGCAAACGAAATAGCTACGAGCTACGACAAAAAATGCATGGAAAATAAAAAGCGTCAAAGCTAGTCTCCCATTTTCTGAAGTCGTGTTCTCCTTAGAAGCTCATTTATTAGTTCTTTTCTTCAGTTCCAACCCTCGTACTCACTTTTTTACATTGATATTTTAATTTTCAGCAACCAGAAACACTCAAGAACACAAGCCCTGCTGCAGAAAATAGAAACGAAGCCAACGAAGACATTGTAAGATTCAAATGAATAATACGTTTCTTCATCAATGCATGTCTAAAGGATAAACTTTGCAATTGGGTTATTGGGCATTTTAAGTTCAAAGACAGGGTCATTTTGTGTTGAATTGCACTTTGGAAATGTGTACCTGGCAGATTCCGACCCACTTTGCTGCGCAACTTTGTAAAAGCCACCAAAGAAGCCATGGCGTCCATAAAAGAGTCCCATAGTACAATACGACACCACATGACCCAGACTCTCCCTCAGCCACCAAATAGCTAATGAATAAAATTTTTCCTTTCCCCCGCTCCTAATATGGAGTCAGCTTAGTATAGGTTTGACTTTATTTCATTTTTCTTTTCTTTATACCACAGGGAAATAAAACAAGTTATAATCAAAATGAAAGTGAAAGTCATAAAGAACCAACCAAGGACGCAGACGAAGTATGTCACCGAATTACTTTCGCTCAATGTTCGGATTAATACCATGCGCATGGCCTGTCTTTAATGGAATTTTCAATAACAGCCTGTTGGCCTTTCAGCTTGAAAAACTCCCCAGCGTTTTCGGTAGAATTCTACTTATTTAAACAAAACATCCTTAAAAGCTAAATGCAAATAATGAACCTTAATACTTGTTACCTTTCCGAATTCTTCATCACTCGAGATAATAATTATCCTACGTTAATGATAAAAAGTTATCTGTTTTTCAGAAAACGGCAGACTCTACGAATGACGACCCTCCAAGCCAACAAAAAATAACAGCGGAAGAAAATGAAAAGGTAAGTATGCCGTCTGGTGGGGACGAAAACAATTACATACGCTTGTTGGTAGTTTCTTGGTGTTGGGCATTGTGCAAACCAAATGATATCGTAAAAAAGATCGAAAAGACACTGACCCAACAAAAAAAAAAGCAATACCTAGCCAACAACGTCTTTCGCAACACACTCACTTGGTCAAGTCATTAGTTTGTGACGCAGTCCTGAATGGAATTTATTTCTTTGTAGAATTCGTTCCTCAACAAGTATTTGAGTGAAAGTGAATCAGAAGACGAGGAAATACTGCAAGAACCTGAGAAAAAGAAAATTGAAAAGCAAGCAGAAAGGTACAACCCTTGACTTCCGGACTAGAACCTCAGATAAAAATGGTACCCGTAGAAATAACTTCTTTCACAATAGATATCTCATCGAGCTGTCTAAGTATTTTAAGAAACAAAAGATTTGACATCTTTACCTTTGCCTAAGCATTGGAATTTAGCTTTACTTCAATTTGTTTATTTGTCATTGGCGTAGTTTAAAACACTTTATAATGCTAAAAATCGCCTTGTGCAAATGTGAACCGTCGTGAGTGTCGATGCTTGATTGGTGGCAGGAGCCAGGAGGCGATTTAAGGGAAGTTTGGAACGTTGTTGGCAAGATATGTCAGTGAGGCCTTCGATCCCTGACCTTTTTAAGAAAAATAAGAAAAAAGCTGTTCATTTCACTCTCCTCAACTGTATCCTGTTTAAGACATGAGAGGCCTAGGCTAGATGTCGAACTTTTCATGAGACGAACCAAACTTAGTTAAGGTAAGTTCGTCTGAATGAGTTTGGATCGTCTGTATCCGTCTGCTTTAGACAAAGAGAGTACGTCTGAACGTCTGAGTGTTTGGTTCGTCACATGAAAAATTCGATGTTTGGCCTTGACCAGGCTTTTTTTTACCATATTTCACATACCTTGGTCAAGACTGCCAATAGGCTCGATTACCAGCCGTTGTTCGGGAAATGAGCCTGCGCTCCTCCCCCGAACAGCTCGGGGAGGACCGAGAGAGCAGCGGAAATTGAGCCAAGACTGCCAGTCCAGAAAAGATACCGCCTGTTTAAAACGCTAAATAGCAAAATTATGCACGCTGTATACGACTGACGACCCCTTTAACTACACTTGCAGGTATCACATACATGTTTAGACCAAACAAGGGATCCCTCCCAAGGAAACGATAGAAAGGGCTTAGTTATACAAGGCCATGTGATCCAAACAAGCGTATTAAGAGTATAGCGCGTTTTCACTCACCTGACCAGCGTCTATGCAAATTCATTGGAACAAAGGAAAGAGTTTTCATAAGAAAAGAGTTCATCTCCCACAGGATTGGTTTCGAAAACCAACATGGCCGCCATTCCATTGTTTTCGAACACCAATATGGCCGCCGTGACGTCATGTGAAAACGCTCTATAGGGGAAAAATCAATCCTAGATTAAATTTGTTTCCATCAACTTTTTTTTGTTTGTTTTAGCAGGAAGCCTGATAAAAAGAAAGCAAAAAAGAAAACTAAGAACTCAAAACCACCAACTCAGCGAAAGCCTTCTCAGAGGTGGAAAAACTTAAGACTTGTTGTTGGAGATGACAGGTATGAACATCCCGGGGGGGGGTGGTCGGGTGGTCGGTGGTGCTGATCGGAAATTTTGAATTAAATCCCTAAAAGAGACCGATCCAGACGAAGCCCAAGCTTTTTTTGACCCCTAAAAGAGACCATGTTAAAACACATACAATACGCATATTTTTATATTTTTTCACGTGCAACCCTAAACGAGACCTTCACGGCTAAATATGATGGCGTTTTGCCCAGAACACCCTAAGTGAGACCAAAATGCGGAGTCCCTCCCCCGGTATGAACACTTTTAAAGATAATTACAAATTGGCAGACTTAGCCTTGTCCGCCTGTACTACCGGTCCCTAATACAATGAAAGGGACTAATCTAAATAAAGTACTGTAGAAGGTCACCCCTGGTAACTTATTATATTTAACACTATTGCAGTGAAGATGAGGAGAAACAAGTCATAAAACCTCCACTTAAAGTAAAGCCAACTCGCAAGGAAAGGTAACGTGTATGCTTTGTCGAAAGGTTTACAAAGAAATTGGGCATATCAGTCTGTTCATAACCTTTTATTTGCTCTTAACAGATCGGCAAGCTGGTGTTCGAAACTAAACACCATGGAGGCGGAAGAGGGCAGGGGGGGGAGGGGTTGGTGATCTCTGGGGGATGGGTTACTATAGTATCTAAAACTGCATTTTTAAGTCAAAATAACCGCCATCTAGATGATTCTTCGATAAAACCCTCAGATCCATACAGTGAAAAGTTCAAGAAGTGATATATCAACAAAAGTTGAGTTGATTTTAATTAAAGGCTGAACCCACAGTATGTTAAACCGCACATTCAGTATTCTAACTGCTCTGATGACATCGTTGTGTTTTACATAAAGTCAAAATAATAGGCAAAACCTACGCAGACGGTCCACAGTTTCCAGAATTCCAACCGCTCAGGCAGAGAGCTCGACAGAGAGCGAGGAGGAAGATGACCGAGTGCTAGACGGCAAAGTGGTGAGCCCGCTTAAGATAATACCAGTATTTAGAGTCGCTTTTCAGAGGAACTCCCTCCGACAAATTTTGGGAGTCACGTGACTGTACGTCCGCCCACCCGCCCAAGTTTGTCGTTTGAAGTCTATTATAAATCAATCAACGGGAGCTTCACTTTCAACTTTAGGTATAGTGCTTGCCTCTTTTGAGAAGCATTTGTATACAGAAAAAACGTATTGGGGTGCACTAGACTTAGTAAACGCTGCTATACAAGCACAAAACATGAGTTAAAAATTTCCCTGTTGAAGAATGGGTGCGAAAAAAGTTGAATGAAATCTAACAAGGTCAGACCGACGTTGCCAACTCCGATTGCACCTTCATGGGGAAAACTGCTCAAAAAAATACATGGATAAGTGACGATTACTATATTTCCTTGCAGAGTGAACTGATGATTTTATTTTTGGTTTGTGCAGAGCGTGGCTGACCTTCCTTCGGAGTACTGGCAAATACAAAGGCTCATCAAGTTTTTGAAGGTGAGAGTGTCATCGCTGTTGAAACAGTGAATAAGGGAACTAATTGACAACTCGAAGCAAGAAAAGGCTACAAACAGGGGAAAACAATACGGCATAATGGCGTGGAAGTGGCGTTACGGATGTTGGAGACGAGTGCTGAGCGAAAGGGTTATGGGAAGGCAAAATTCCCCTCTTCGGATCTCTCCCTTCTCTCTCGCTTTCCTGAATAGATAACTAAATATCCCCGGATAAGCGATCTACTGGAGAGAAAGCAGTGGCGAAAGTAACTTGAAAGACCCACTCAAGTTAAACCTGTTTAAATCCTGTTTTTCTAGATTGGTAACCAAGTCGCAACGGTGATTACGCTGTGTTCTCTGACTGACTTTAACTTAACTCAGGAGATGACGCAGATGGCCATCAGAGATGTTAATGGGCTAGCAGTTCTGGTTAATATTCTTAGAACTGATCACATTAATTGCCAGGTAAACAAAGGGGGACTTCCTCTAACAGGCTTCAAGGAGGGGCTCCTCCCGAAGAGGTTTTCACTCAAGAGTTGCGGGGGGGATTACACGAGATGAGGTATAGACAAGAGCAAGAAAAACCCTGCCATTTAGACATTCAATAAGGACCTTTCAAGGTGTCTGGAATAAACGCCCCCTAAACGCTGATCAATTCAGGCTAGTTTCCCAACGCTTACTCAGGGTAGAAAAGGTATAAAAAATTGTCAAGGTGCAGGAAAAAGAAAAGATTACCACTTCTGTGGAAGGGATATAAAAGGAGAGAAAATTGTTACATAGAGAAGTGTGGACACTGACCTGTCATGGAGTACATCCGGAAAACAATTTGTTGTCTACCCCGCACCGCCCCTTCCCCCTTGATGACCAGATACTTCCATGGTTTGCTTGGTTATTTCTCCTTACATTTTAGTAATGTAACCATCATCAAAACAATACCTATACCCCGCCCCGCCCCCTCCCCCCTCTGATGACCGGATACTTCCATCGTTTGCTTATTTATGTGTCACTACATTATACTTATATAACCATCATCTAGATAAAAAAAAATATATCTGTGCTGAGACTTTTTAGGGTAGCTACTAAAGACTTATTTCCTCTTATCATAGTCCCGGCAGACTGTTTTTAAGACATCGCAGTTGTCAATAAGCACATAGTCCGCAATGGAGGTCGAGAATAAAACAACTGAGTGTTTATCAGGGTCTAATTCAGCTCTTTACTTTTTGCTCAATAGATTGGTGCGTTAAAGGTTCTTCGACAGTTAACATTAAACAGTAAATACAACAGGCGAGCAGTAATTAACATAGGAGGTAATTATAATTTACAGTCTCGGTCTTGATATTTCTTTTTCCTTCCTCCAATTTCCGTCCCATAAATTTCCTACCTACCTTTCCGTCTTTCCGTTTTTTCTTCTTTTACTTTTCCACCCTTTTTCCTTGTCTTCTTCTTCTTTCCAAAATTTCTTTTTCTCTTTCAGTCCTTTCCTTTTCCAATTCTGTCTTCCGTTTTTCTCAGCCCCCCATCCTTTCCTTCATTCACTTCCATCTTTCCTTAAATTTCCTTTCTTCCTACCCGTTCTCCCAAATCCCGCAGTTTTCCTCATACACTCGAACCTCNTTGGTTATTTCTCCTTACATTTTAGTAATGTAACCATCATCAAAACAATACCTATACCCCGCCCCGCCCCCTCCCCCCTCTGATGACCGGATACTTCCATCGTTTGCTTATTTATGTGTCACTACATTATACTTATATAACCATCATCTAGATAAAAAAAAATATATCTGTGCTGAGACTTTTTAGGGTAGCTACTAAAGACTTATTTCCTCTTATCATAGTCCCGGCAGACTGTTTTTAAGACATCGCAGTTGTCAATAAGCACATAGTCCGCAATGGAGGTCGAGAATAAAACAACTGAGTGTTTATCAGGGTCTAATTCAGCTCTTTACTTTTTGCTCAATAGATTGGTGCGTTAAAGGTTCTTCGACAGTTAACATTAAACAGTAAATACAACAGGCGAGCAGTAATTAACATAGGAGGTAATTATAATTTACAGTCTCGGTCTTGATATTTCTTTTTCCTTCCTCCAATTTCCGTCCCATAAATTTCCTACCTACCTTTCCGTCTTTCCGTTTTTTCTTCTTTTACTTTTCCACCCTTTTTCCTTGTCTTCTTCTTCTTTCCAAAATTTCTTTTTCTCTTTCAGTCCTTTCCTTTTCCAATTCTGTCTTCCGTTTTTCTCAGCCCCCCATCCTTTCCTTCATTCACTTCCATCTTTCCTTAAATTTCCTTTCTTCCTACCCGTTCTCCCAAATCCCGCAGTTTTCCTCATACAGCCCAACCTCCCGTAAGCGACAGTGGTCGTTTACGGGAGGTGGTCGCTTACAAGAATCGAACCAAGGGGAGCCTCTTCTGAGAAGAGGTCTGGGTACATCAATTTTATGGAAGATAATTTATTGCACGCAATTTGTAAGTTACGCCATGTGTAGTTCCATTTTGTTACTAAAATACTAAAATTCTTCGTATATTCAAAGTAGCACAGTGCGCACAGCGAACATAGACATCAGAGAATGCGTCAATTTGTCGCTTACAAGAGGTTAAAAGCCATGGAAAATCATTAAACTTTCAGGCCCAAAAACTGGTGGCGGTCGCTAACAGGAGGTGGTCGTTTACTAGAAGTTCAACTGTAGCTCTTGTCTGGGAAAGTTTCGGTGTTTTGGATAGGAGGTCACTTATGGGAGGTGGTCGCTTACTAGAAGTGGTAGCACACGGAGGTTCTACTGCACTCTTCTCCTCCGCTCCACATTCCTTCCTTCCTTCCTTTTATTGCATGTCGTAGTATAATATCTAATTCGAATTTCATCACTCTTAAGTTGTCCAGATTTTGATTGATCTCATCGACGATGCTCGTGCACAGGGAGTCCAAGGCTTAGCTGCAGCTAATCTGTCCAACATGGCCAAGTCGAGTTTGGGACGAAATATTCTAAAGCGACATGACGGGATACAAAAACTCGTGAGTATTGGAGGATGTGAGAAACCTTTTGCCAGAAATCTGGCTAACCGAAGGTTTTAAAAAGATTTATGTTATCTTTTACACACGCGTTTATTCTTTTCGACCGAGTATTCCGAGGGCTGTCCAATATACCTGTCCTGTAATAAAGGTCCGTATAAACCATGTTACGATCCGTGCTCGTATGGACCGAGAAATTCTGTTAAAGAGTGCTTTTTGCACTTTATGGGTTATAGAACAAGGAATATTACGTTTGGAACGTGCTTGATTCGCTTCATGTAACGAGGAATTTACGATCGGTATCAATCAAGCACTCCATATGGACTGCACGAACCGTAACACATTGTGCCCTGATATAATGTTGCATAAGATGCACTCTTCGTAACTGCTCAGAATATGAACTGGTAGTAATGCTGAGAGTTTGTACAGAGGGTACGATCCGCGGTCAACGGCTTTTAACGGTCCGTAACAGTGCGGCAGTACAGTATTAGACATGACTGGAGTATTCAACAGCTTCGGAGATTTTGCTTAGGGCCCCTTACACACTAGTCTACCTCGCTCCAAAAAACGGCTGCGAGGGAGACTACTTACACACATGTAACCGATGAATTTTCATCAGAACACTGTTTCTGTTTCTTTCTTTCTTTTGTTGTTGTAGGTGGATTTACTAAACTACGAAGATGGAAAGGGACGCCGCCCAGACAACCAGTCACCAGGCCAAGACGGGGCAAAACTAGAAGTTGCTCGTAATGCCGCGCTTGCGCTGTGGAGTTGCAGCAAGAGCACGCGCAGTAGGTTTGTGACGTTACTAGCCATTACCATTTTTGGGTATCAGTTTCGTGCGTTGTGATTGGTAACAAAGTAAATCTGGCCGAGAGATACTGAAAATGAGTATAAGCTCAATAATTTTTTTAATGGCGGCCATATTGTAACACATTGATGATGATTGTTGCACTTTAAGTTCTTCAAGATCTTCTATCACACTACCAGTAGTCATTTTCGCGAAAATCACAACGACTTAGCCCAGATGACTTTTACCAATTGTCTTCTCTTAGTTCCGGTGACATTTTGTCTGACGTTGCCGTCGTGGTTTCAAAGCATTCTCTTTACTAATTTCGTACGACAACAAGTGATTGAACCGGAGAGACAAAACTTTATCCTTGTTATTCTAACCGCAATGAGTAGCCCTTATCTTTACCGAGAATGCGCAAGCATCTTATTTTTCTTTTGAGTCAAAGTAGATCGAGAGCACGCGTGAGGGCAAGCGGCAAAGCAGCGAAGAACGAAGGCAGAAGCCCTTCCATAATTTTACTTTTTCACTCGCCGCGTGTGGCTCTGAAGAAAGAGCGGCGACGGCTCGCGATCACCCAGACTGTCTAAGATGCACAATGTAGAAGTGTACTGTACTCTTATATGAAGATCTCAAATTGCTTCTGATGCAGGTCAGCAATTTACAAGGCTGGCAGCGTGCCTTTACTCGCTAAACTCATCAAGCTGGACAAAGAGGAATTTCTTATTCCCATAGTGGGCCTCGCACAAGAGTGCGCCGTGGAGGTAAATTAAGTAAATGCACTGTAGAGTAGTCCCAGGACAGCCCTGTCTGGAATTATGTTTGGTGTTTCGCTTGGTGTAACGCTTCGGTTAGACACAAAGAACAAATTCCTGTTGTTATTTTTGACGCCAGGGAGGTCAGCGTTAATTGTTCTCGTTGCTTGCTTTGGCTTCGGTTAGATATCATGTGACCCGAGTTAGTAAAGACAGACATACAACAATTTAACACGTATTTCTTTAAATACCCTACTTGCATACGCTGTTACTTAGAAATGGCATCGTATTGTTTAAAAAAAACATAGTATATAAGGAAGCAGATGACAATAAAAGGCCAAGTGGGCGTGGTGAGGCGCGGGGATTGATACCCGAGCAACATCGTATCATCCGCTGTTTTTCTTCCATAGTCTCGTTTCAGGGAAGCCTTTTACAAGGAGAATATAATAACAGCTATTGTTCGTCGGCTGCAAACAGATAATGAAGAGCTCCAAGGTTACTGTGCTAATGCAATATTTAAGGTGAGTTGGCGACTACCACATTGACTGAGTCAGGTTTGCCCACTATACCCTCCCCTCCCGTCTAACATTAATGATTCTAAACGAGATCATTATCCCAATATTTTAAGGGTCATGTAGAAGACGCGTTGGGGATTTTCCTGTACTATTTTAGAAATATTTTTGCTGCTCAATTCCGATATTCTCATGACATTTTGCTTAAGTAACTAATCATATCATAGAGAGATATTAGATGCGGATCACTACTAGTGCTCAAAGGGTTGCAAGAACTTGGATGTCAGACCCGTGTCGATAATTTTTCCGCCTCTTTATCGCAGTGTGCAGAGGACGAAGGCACGAGAAAAGCTGTGTATGACTGCGGAGGATTGGATACGCTCGTTTCACTCCTCTCCCGCCAAGATAACAAGAAGCTGTTGGCCGCAGTGACAGGAGCTATTTGGAAATGTGCAATAAGTGAATACAACGTAAAAAGGTATTGATGCTGTACTGATACACTGGAAGAGGCCAAGCGAGTACAAAAGGGAGAATATTATTAAGGACTTGACCTGGTGTTTTCTCAAGTTTAGCGGGCTTCCAAGAATAGCATGTCTACACGCAAAACGACCTATTTATGCCAGAACTTGAATTAGTAAACCGAATTCCACTAGAGAGGTAACCAGATGTCTGCCTTCATCCTCTTATTCTCGAGCAGTGGATCCATCACCGCGCTTAAACGGAAAAATTGATTTCATTACGAAAGTTTAGATAAGAGTTAACTTTCAGAGCAACAAGTGTAAATTTGGCTAGAGCTGAATTTCAAAGAAATGCAAAGTCTTCGTCACCACCCGCTTGCTAGAGGACATTACTTGATTTCGGGTGGTTCTCATGTTCCGTGCAGGTGGGGCGGATGTACCTGTAGGAACCCACTTTTTCTTTCCTTTCTCCTATTCTCTTGCTTTTTCATTTCCATGTTCAGTATTTCGCTTATTCATACCTAGTCTTGAACCTTATGTCATGAGCTGAAAGACTAACCTTCATTCTCTCACTCAGACTGATGGAAGTCAACGTTGTGGAGACACTTGTTAAACTTCTTCAAGCAGAAGAAGAAACAGAGGAACTTCCGGAACAGGTTAGTTGCGCAGATTGTCCAAAGTCACTCTACCTTGACTCTAATGTTAACAAAATAGAAATGCAAAAAGTAATTACCTTCTTATTCTTAAAAGCTTTCAAACGATATATTGTAACGTGATGCTACAGAAAATAAAGTCATACTCTCTTTTAAACTTGTTTCTTGAAATTATATTAACTATCGTGCGCTGTACCTGTACAATCTCCCGTTTTAACCAGAAATCCTTGGCATGGTTTGCATCTCTTCTAGCCTTCCGCTATGTTCCCAGCTGGCCCCTTTGACCTGCATCTCCAATTGTTCTGAGGGTTAGAAGTATTGCACTGCTTCCGAATCTATCATTTGGTAAAACTAGCTATAACACTTGTAAGTTGTAACACGTACTGAGTTTACTCGTCCCCTACTCATACGCGCCATTTGACTTTCCATCGTTCTTATAACCCGATTAAGGTTCAACTTCATATTGTCGGAGCCATCGCGGAACTTGCCAAAGACCCCAGAGCCCCGCTGGAAATGCTACGATGCAAAGGCTGCAGGACTTTAGTTGACATTCTCAATATACCAAACGAGGAACTTACCAGTACAGCGGCGAGAGCTATTGCCGCATGCGCGGTAGAAGTTGGCTGTCGATCGTAAGTGGTGATGGTGTTATTCTTCTTTTTTTTTTTTTTTTAATTATTCATCTCCTTGGTGTTTTCGTTTTAAAAAAGATGATGCTGTGGTTTTCACCGTCCTACAGAAAAGACCCAGAAAAATTTTCAATCTTTGGAAATAAAAAAATCGTATAGCCCAAGCAGTCAACTCTTGGGTTACAATCGATTTAAAGAAAGTTACCAATTTGATTGAAATTAGCCTTTTTCCATAGAAAAAAGTCAAATTTACCAAATTTTAGCACGAAACAGGTTTGTAAAGTAAAAAAGAAGCAATTCCCATGTTTTATGTTAAGAATTTGCAAGGACGATACGTATCGGAATTCAGTAAGTCAAGCTCGCGTTTTTAGAAAACGATCACTTTTTTCCCTTCATCTGGTTACTTTTAATTATTACAACAAACACATCGCACAGCTTTTAAAATTACAGGTGACTTTTGATCTGGTCTAGTTCAGTTACATCTAAGTATACTTTATTTCAGAGTATTCAATAGATTGGAAGGACTAAGACTTCTGTGGTCCCTAATGAAGTCGAGAAACAACGAGGCGAGTAGTATATGAGTATATATTCATGATATATTGTGTTAAAATGACATTAAGGTACTTTTTACAAACGATCGCATCGCTACTAGTAGATTACTACTAACAGCAGATTTAAAGAAAACTAAAGGTTTTGCTTGATGCTGCTGATTTTTCAGGTAGTTTCCGGTGCAGCGTGGGCAGTGTACAGACTAATGCAGGACACACCGGTACGGAATACATGAAATTCGAACCATATGCACAGATGTGATTATTGGATAGTGGGCGATTTCGCCCAAGAAACTGTCTTGACTTGCGTTTAGGCCTTGTTATAATACGCTTAGAGATAACTAGAAAGTTTTATCCTGGAAATGCAATCGTCCAAAAAATTAAATTGAGGAGAGCTTCAGAGATTCCGGTTCACTAGCTACGTGAGGTCGCGTGCGGAAACGTTTACTTAAACAAAACGTTCAATTACATCCTTTCTCGCTTACATCAGGGTTAAAATGATTTCTGTAATGAGATCAAATTCAAATTTATCCGTAGGAGGCCTGGGAAACAGCCCGATCTTTTGTTGGAGGACTGGATCTGAGTGTTCGTCTGCTTAAGTCACGTGACTTAGAGGTAAGTTGCAACTGTTCACTGAAAAAAGTTGCCAAACTGAAGACAAGTAAGAGAAGTGGTTATCCTTGCATTCTTCTACATACATTGTATTCGAAGAGAAACCATTACAGCCGCTCAAATAATTTACTTTCGTTCCCATTTTACGTTGCGCATTGTGAAGATACAAAATATCTTTTCAACTATTTCAGGTTCTTACAAGCGCATGCGCAGTGATATCTATCGTGGCCTGTGATCGAGAGAACCTGGGCGTCATCACAGATTACGGCGTTGTTCCTCACTTGGCTCACCTTACGCATATGGTAAGAAGATAATCCGCTGTACTAATTTAAAACTGCTGGAGCAGCACATTTTTTGAGCTGAATAAAGGGTTTGTTTACTTTTAGCGATTAGCAAGGTTGTTATCATCAGTAGACTTACATCAGCATAAAGATTTCATTGTTGGCATTATCAGTACTTTCCATCATCATTGTTATGGTTATCTTTATCGTTATCGTTATGTTCATAATCATAACCCCTCTAACATCAGTATCTCTCCTTTACTATCGGGAATCGCCACAACTATAAGCTGAAATAGCTGTAGTCATTACTAGTTGTCGTCATCTTCGTAATTATTGTTTTTGTTGTTGCGTCCTCATGGATTTCGACACTCTCATTATATACTCCCGGCTACTGTCAGAAGCCCATAATCCGGAGCGTACAGCTCCCATACTAGGCCTATGTCACGGCGTTTTTACGGATCAATATATATTTAGACACATTTTAGGGCACTTTTTCCCGCGAAAGTAGAATCTCCACCATGTCTATAGGCGCACTGGAAGTATAAAATATCAAAAAGGAAAACGGAACGTAATTAAAAGGCAAAAAATACATATTTTAGGTCTGTAGGTGTTGTTGACTAGTTGTGGAGTTTAAAAAATATTCAAAATTTGCGCCAAAACCGTTCTAAAAATAAACTGGTCCGAGAAAACGCGGTGACACAAGCGCAAGGAAGTTGCTCGCTCCTGCTACTGTATATTTCTGAAAGCCATGTTATCGGCTATAGTGCATGCATGCGAAGATTGTTTGCCCAGAAATGCAAGGTTTCTAATGGTTTCCTGTATAGTGTGCACATGCAAAGATCGTTTTCACTTGTCCTCGTTGCGTCAACAACACGTCTATTATCAGAGTGCATTTTTTGTCATTTTTCTAGACTGACATACGTCTAAGGCGTCACTTGGCTGAAGCTATCGCTATGTGCAGCAAATGGGGCAACAATGCCAAACGCTTCTGTGACGAAGGTGCTGTCAAGCCTATGGTAGAGTACCTGGGATCACATGACATCATTGTCCAGCGGTCAGCAATGCGGGCTCTTGAACAACTAGGCAAGAATCCGGAAAGCTGTATCATAATGCACCGGAGTGGAGTCGTCAAGGTAACGAGCCTCTCTTCAAAATATCATGACTTTTCCCTTGCTGAATCAAATATTTACAAAGCACATGATTTCTCTGAACGTCAAGGCAATAGGTAAAGCAAACGTCTAAAAACGGTCCAGACACAACACGGGTAGTAAAAGGCGCAACACAGCTTTTAAACTCGTTTTGCAAAACAAGTTGAACGTTTCTGTTGCCTGTTTTTATACTTAGCGTTACCAAGACCAATTGCATCCTGTTTTGATTTGCAGCTCCTGTTGGAGATGGTTGGTTCTGATGATGCTGGACTACAAGAGGCTGCGGCTGGATGTTTATTGAACATGCGACAGCTAGCAATGGCCAATGAACGAGCGAGACAGGAGAAGGAATCGAGGAACAGTGACTCGGAAGCTTATTGATGTTCTTTAGCAACAAAAACAATTAGCTTTAGTGGATTTGAGTGTCTTAAAATTTGATTCGCCTAAGGATTACTTAAGTTATCAAAAATCATTTGCTCTTAAACCGTGACAAGACCTTTTTGAAATAATGTCACAGGTTTGTCTGTTTCAGTTGATTTGATGGAAGCCTCTGGCGTTTTAGAAACAAATAAATGTTTAGGTCTTACAAGGAAAGAAAGAGATCTTTTATTCAGTCATTGTCTACTCTTGGCGCTAGGTTCTATATCTTTAGTTGCAATACAAATATTCAAAACCATCTATTGTAGAATATATTGATCATGTTAAAGGCAACTTTACAATTGAGAAAAAAACAAACAAACAAACAATTATTGAAGGAACGGAGAAAATTTGGGAAAAAAGTGGAAAAAAAATTTTTGAGAAAAGGCATTTGTTTGAGTAAACTCTCTTTTTTTCTCCCTGCTTTTTAAAGAAATCCAATATGAACAGATTCCAAAAGAAAAAAGACAATATTTCTTCTACGCTTTATCCTACTGCCGCCTCATTACCCAGATCTGGGTACTGCTTCTGATTGGTTGAATCAAATTTCCCACGCGGCACGACCAATCAGAAGCACAACCCAGATCTGAGTAATGAGGCGTCATCAGTATGGAATTTCTGCGCTCGTTTCTCAGACGTCATTTGGCGGGGAAACCAGTGGTAGCGTCGCCAAATGTCGGCTGGTTTCACACGTTAGGAAAGCTATTTTGTTTGCATTTAAGATCGAGTTTCTAATAGCTTTGAAAATAATACAGCTAGAGAACAAAAACAAACAAGTAATATTTGGTTTCAGGCCAGAAACGTTACCAGGGCTTTCCAGAAACAGGCCCGAAGTACCAGTTGTTCAAAATCGGCACTTATCAAAGGGCATACGGAACTTTATTATGTGATCATGAAAGCTCTCCATAAAAGCATTCACGAGCTACTAAGTCATTCAATTTTTTTTATTTTATTTATTTGCTTCTTACACACATTACACAAACATAGATACTGAAAAGTATCTATGTTTTTAGACCCAGCTTTCTCTGTGTGTAATGGCTTTGAGGACCGGTATAAAAGATAAACGTGGATTGGTAGAGCCTCTCTATTGATTGTTAAAGGCAGCTGGGCCGCCGCGATACGTAGTCGTTCACAGCGGGTGTTCTCTCTCCACTAAAAAATTCAGGCTCCAAATCTAAGGTGGTGATACCTGTCGCGGCCAACCGTTACATGAGCCGAGGTCGAATAGCCCGAAGGGCCGAAAAAAATTCTTGTAGATCAATATTGTCACTAAGGTCTGTAAATTCTGTGCAAAACGAAATAGCCACTGCAGGAATGAGGTCTGAAAAAATCTTGCATGGAAAAAAAAATAACCCATACCTGGCTCAAAAATCAAATAGTGGGCCCCTTACCACAGGCGGCCCAAACTCACGTTACGAGGGAAGGGTATAATGTAATTTACATACCATAGGTGACTTGCCGGTGTCGCGTTACAGGCGATCGTTGAAAACATAAGAGACGTTGTATGAGAAATATATTACTGAGATCTCTGCACGCTAAATAACGCTAAACCTTACTTTTTCTTAAATGAAATGAATAAAAAAGACTTACCTGCAATGTATTCCACTGCGTTTTGGTGTCTGTTTGTCGTTTTACTGGTGTTTTTGGCTTTATTGCGTAACCACTGTTACTCCTTTCATAGAACGAAGGAGTAACAGCGGTTACGCAATAAAGCCAAAAAAATCAGTAAAAAGACAAACAGAGGTAACCCTAAAACTCAATGCAGTAAGAGCAGAGTTATTAAATTGCGAGAAAGCATGTATTTTGCAACAAAGCGCGCGAATTCATTACACTTTTGTATTCTACTTTTGACGTCCATTCTTATTATTTAAGTACTTTTAAGAGTTAAGTTACTGATCAAAAAATACGAACCTCGATTTATAGTCGCCTTGTGACTTGCTTGAGGCGATGAGGCAATCGGGGCCTATACAGTAAAATCCGCTTTCAATCAATCGGTTTGTCTATTGTTATGTTTGATCACAGGCAGACCACCCTCTTTTAGTGGGGGCCGTTGTTGATTGAAATCTGAGCAACGATCTTTTGTTATTTATAGAAGAAATACATATGAACAATACGGTGGCTATTATTTGTTCCAAAATGCAGAATTTAGAGCAAAATTTTCAATAAAAGTTTGAAAAAAATGTTAACTGAGTCATGTGTCATGTTTTTTTCGCCGTCCCGTGCTGTTTTAAGCGCTATTTTGTGAGATGAATATTTGACCTCCGGGCAGGCAGTGTGCGTCACGACCCACAAAGGTTCATGGGTAAAACTGTTACTGTGCCTCATTTCAATGGTGACACAGTCGAGTTCACATCTCGTAAGAGAGATGAATCAAACCCAGGGATCAAAACACTGCTGCCTTTTCTGAAAAACATTACGGAAGAGAGCGATTTGGAGAATTTTCAAGATCTCATAGTGGCCTTAGATGCTTGCTATTGGCGTCACAAGACAATTTCAATAAGTTTATCGCGATTCGGAGACGATCGTGCGATCTAGCCGACTTTGAGCGGCGACTAATTTCCTGCTTCTCATAAGATTTTATGTACTGTTTGGTTTATATGTATATTTTTATCTCATAGTGAGAGAGATCTGTAGTTCATACCTGTATTTGCTTAACTAAAAAAAAATTCGTCCATTAGAAGTGTTATATGTTTGATGCACTTCATTACCGGTCAAGGAGGGGGAGCGCGAGCAAACAGCAAGCTAGGTGAGAAATCGTCTCTCATAACAATTTTATTTTCATCGACAAGGTTATATTATTTTGAAAACGGTACCCGTTTGAAATCCTTATACGAAAATAAATCTTCTATCAGGCAAGGGGAAAACAGACCGAAAGAGCAGAACAAACAGCACAATCGGAATTTCACCGAAGCTACAGCCGCACAAATAAACCACAATCTTGTCTGTGCGTTCACTGAAGTGAGCGCAGTATATCGATTTTGTTATAAAGTAAGACCTAACCTCACAGTTTTAAAATCCTGTATGACGTTGTCTGGATCTTCAATAATGGTTATGTGTTTTGGTAGAGATCTGTAACAATTTATTCCCTCACATAAGTTTACATAAAGATTTGCATACACATAGCACACACCGCACGCAAATTAGTTTAAAGTGACGCTTTCAGTTTCCGCCGTGGGTTATGAAAAATGTTTTGTTTCCAAAGGTTATTACAATATTCAAACTTATTTACCTTTTCTGGTTAAAATAGAACAAACTCTTCCTCGATTTGGCGTTACTCGCTTCGCGCCGGCTTCCGCTTCGGCATGTTTTCTCAGCCCGTTTCCCGGGAGTTGTGCCACTTGGCTGCGCTTGGCTGAGACGATGTCTTAATTTCAAGACACTTTCAACGGCTCATAACGGGAAAACTAACACGGGTAGACCCGGGTAGACCCCAAAATTTGCAAAGAAGAAAGGTTGAAGTAACAAGATGGCCAAAATAATTCGATAAAACCGATAACAGTAACTAGCAATGAATCCAAGAAGAACGGCAAAAACAACACTCAAATCATCATGGCGGCCTGCACATGACCGAGCAATTCAAACTTGTCACAAAAGCAAAATATTTAAAAGTAACACAACTGCTTTCAAGATAAAGTGTTCCAACAACTTTCCACGGCGGTATAGTGTCGAAATTACCAACACAAGCTTGAAATAAAGCGAAAATTTCACCACGTACACCTTTGAAAACGACTCTTTCCAAGCGCGAAAATCACTCTACAAATGACCCATTCTGATTGGTCGAATCTCGTGACGCACACCGCCTGACCTCCGGGGTTAGAACTATAGAAGGAGACTCCTTCTTTAGTTCTAACCTACTAACAGAGGGTGGTCTGCCTGTGGTTTGATCGGCCCAAAAACTCTATGCTTGGACCCTTGCCAGGGGTAAATCAGTCAAGGAAGTACTTACGTACCTTTCTCTGTCACAGGGTTTCTGTTTGTCCTTTTTCTTCTTCCCCATTTCTCGCCAAAAAAGATATGTATAAATCGCTTTCTCTGCCTTCTGGCGTTGACAGCGCGTTGAGGAGGTGCGTTACAAAGCGCGAGAAAAGTGACTTGAGATTCAAATTACGGTGCCCTCAACAATTACAGTATAGATTAAGAATATGATACCATGTTTTCGTCAAACAACCAGGACTTCGTATGACAGGAACTGCCGTCAGCCGGAAGCAAGAATAAGTAATGTACCTTGACAGGAAATTCTATGGACACAAACCTTATTATGCGGAAAAATATTGTGAAAAGAGATTTTTAGACCGTGTAATAAATCTGATCCCTGATTTGGGCTCAAAAGCCTCGTGATCCCTGATCCCATTCTTCTGAGCCCTGAGCCCTTTCCTCTGAGCCCTGATCCCAGCCATATTTTGGGCTTTAAACCCTGAGCCCATATACCATGTTACGACCCTGCTATTACACCATGAAAGTAAAATCTCAGTAGGATCGATAGTTTTAGTGACGTCATGTGCAAACCAACATCAGGTACGTACCTACCTGTTTTTGGACAACAGCCGCTGACAATAGAGCCCAAGGAAATGCACTTGTTCTTATGAGGATCTTCCTACATTTTGAATCATGAATTTTCCTGTTTCAAATGATCTTACTTCCCAGAAATACTATATTGACAAATATGGATCAATCGAAACATTAATCGATAAGGCCAAGAATGGCGAAATCCACGCCCAAGCAGATTTGGGATGGGCTTACTCGCAGGGTTTTGGCGATCTCCTGCCGCAAGATAACGACAAAGCAATCGGATGGCTTAGCACTACTATAGACAAGGGTTATGAATTGCCTCATACCCTAGGAAAACTTGGGGAGTTACTAGATCGGAAAGGAACAATACGACATCAGCAGAAGGCTTATGAGATGTACCACAGGGCAGCGAAACTGGGGAGCAGAAGTTCACAACTCAATCTTGCTGAAATGTATAGATGTGGAGTTGAAGGAGTCGTGAACAAAGATCTTAAAGAGGCATTTAAATGGTATAAAATGGCCGCAGATGAAGGTGCGAGTGATTATGAATTGGGAACAGAGCAAAAATTGCTGGCTGGGACGACGAGAAAACTCGACAACAAATCAAAGCTATGGTCTCTGAAATGTCTGTATAAGTATTATCTAGAGGGTGAATGTCCGGAAGGCCGTCCACAGCCAACTAAAGCAATTCATTATTTGACAAGAGCAGCTGAAATAGGCGATACTGAGGCTCAACGTAACTTGGGGCAGATATACTTAAAGGGAATTTGTGAGCAAATCAAAGACATTTCAAAAGCAAGAAGGTGGCTCAATAAAGCATCTGCAAAAGGTGATGCAGAGGCAAAACAGGTCGGTTGAATATGCATCTTATAAATATATGTTATTCACTGGTTAGGAGGTCCTTATTGGGAGAAACTGTGCCCGAGGTCTTGAGTACTGAGGGTACATTTTTTCCCCCTATGGACCGACCTAGGCCGGTGAATAACATTTTTATTTTTTTTCCTACTTAGATTTAAAAGTTTCCGGAAAATTTTACTTTAGCCTCCAACCTATGCGTGTTGAAGAAGGGTGCGTTCATGTCGATGAAGTGCGCGATCGATTGCAAACCAAAACAAAACAAAACATTGCAACATGATTTTTAACTTGTAATTTATATTATCACAATTAAGCTCTCTTTTCAAATAAAGAAAGGTTTGTGTGTCTTGGTAGACAATTCATAATCTGAGTGTCAAACAAGATGAAAAGAATAATGATGAACTTGATATTAAAAGCTACAGGAAAGGAAATACAGCTAAGATTTTCTTTGCCTGAGTAATTACTTTAAGATTAGTTTGATTGAGCAGGATAAAAACTGCACAAAGGCTTTATAAAAGGAGCTAATTACACATACCAATCTAGAGGTTTTGAATTGAATTCAAATAAAAGAATACGATGTGGGTAACAAGTATATAAACAAAGAAATGAAAACAGTGATAACCAACTGCTGGAAAAGTTGTTCATGTTGTTTACTCAAGATGGAATGCTAAATATAATCGTCAACAACAACCTTTTCTGAGAAGTAGAAAACTAGTGGGGCAAAATTCACGGAACATTCAACGGACTTTCTCAAAGTCCTTTGCTTCTCATTTCCGGTCCCGGTAGTTGGCCCCAGCACAAAGGACCTTTATCCCCTGCAGCATGCCAAATTTACAGAAGGAATTTTAATTCCTCCAGTAGGTTTTATCCAATCACAAACGGTTTTACTGATGTACTCTGTCAATCAAACCCAATCACGCCACATGAAACGTGACTTGAACTGTTTTGATTTTTTGCGGGCTGTATTTCGATTTCATTTTATCGCCTGTATTCAAATACAACGCATTAGTGGGCCTTTTTTCGTCCTCCATTTGAGGACTTTACCAAGGCCAGATTTGCCTGACAGCCTTGGAGCGAAAAAACATTACCGACTTGTTTTGTTTTGAGTGCGTGCACTACAGGGTGCGCTACAAAGTTTTTATTTTTTATGTTTTCTTTCATGGTGTATGCAAACCTTGCAAGAATTCTTACGTACTTAAAATCCACTGATGAAGGGCCAGAGGCCCGTTTCTCGAAAGTCCCGATAATTAACGGGCCCGGTAAGCTGTCTCGGTTTCCATTAAAGATCGAGGTTTCAATAGTTTTGCATCTAACATGATAAAATTATCAGTTAACGAAACAAAATGGAGTAGTTTGCTAGCCAGGACCCGCGCTCTTATTCTTTTTATTTCGACTTGAATATTAGATTTCGGGCCCGAAAAGTTAACGGGACTTTCGAGAAACGGGCCCCAGGCCCGAAACGTCCGGAGACTGAACTCAGAAATATCACTAGATGGCACTTTTTTTCATTACCCTTTTTTGTATTGAGCATTCCTTTATTTACTTTATTTACTTTCTCTCATCAAAATTTTTTTCCGTTATTTGTTTGTTTTGACATACTTTGACAGCTCGCGATGACACATGCGACAATGACGCAAAACGTTCACGCCAAAATGACGTCACTGACTTGATACAATTTTTTGCAGGGGAAACAATAAGTCGAGCTCTCGCTCTCTGGCTCGCTTTTGCCGCAGAAAACATAAAAATCTACTGCTCACGCTCGTGAAAATTTTGAGCTCAACTTGAAGGCAAGTCTATGAAAAACAGCAGAATCTAGATTCAGACAGCAAAAATGGAAAACAAAACTACAACTAGAGCAAAAATGCCGAATAAACGGTGCATAAAAGAAAGATTGCAATACTTACAGTGTAGGTTATAAAACTAGTGAAGCAACATCACGAGCCGCCTGTTTTGCTTTACTTTAGTGGTTTTCCTGGCTGACTTGCTTGATTCTCCCTTCAGACTTTTTGTCTGAATAATAAAAGTCACTTTTCCCTAGCTAATGCTAATAATAGTGCAAGTCTCAAAAGAAAAATGGTTTAAAAATCACGGTTTGTGCTCATTCACAAACAACAAACAAACTTGTGAATGAGGCTACCAACGATTTTACCCAAGGAAGCACACAAGATCTTAAAAAACCGCCCACTCTTGGAACCAATCAGATCACCCGCTCGCTAACTAAGAAAAAAGTGAAGGATTTTATCAATGTCTAAAAAAACTTTCACGTGTTATTTACATTTGAAAATTGCATGTGTATTAGTTTTATTGGCAGTAACACAAGTGGTTTTTAGTGAAGAAACATTCCTTGATCATGGTGATCATAAGGACTAACTCTACAGATTTAAAATTGGATCCCTACATTGGGCACCAACCAAAGCACACCTTATCCCTAGGGTAACCAACCTTAATGTCATCACAAATACAATTCAGTGACTGTGTGAACAAGTTCCCATGTCTTTTTTTGTTGTAGACTTACTGAAATTGCTTAGGCTGCAGTCATTATGTATACTGCAGGGGGAGGGGGGGGAGGAGCAGAGGATATTTTTTAAAGGGGCAAAATTTTTTAAGATCCCCCGGCCCCACATCATACAGAATTTTTTGACAACCCCCCTTATGACCAAAAGAAAAAATGACCCCCCCCCCCACCACCCAGTCTTGACAAGGAAAGCAAAATATAGGCAATATAATTTAAATGGTGCAGAGATAAATGTTTAAAATAGAAAACTAAAAACAAAAGGTGACCAGAGGTTCCCAGATTTTTGTATTTCTGGTGTAAAGAAAGTTGCAAGAGATTACTAAAGCTAGCTGTGCCTCAAAGAGAAATTGCATACCGGGGCCATGTGGCTGCTTAGATTCAATAATAAAGTGCAATAATCCCTAGTGGAAGAATAAAATGATAGGTTAAATTTGGGACCTAGACTAGCAAAGAACAAGCCCAAGTGAAAAGAAAACAAAAGAAAAAAGGCAGATGAAAAGCTATACAACAGGTGCTAAAATATACTGAATGGCCAAATCAGTTGGACATGAAAGGAAAAGGGAATTGCAAGTCATCCTACCTCTGACAAAAGGTCCACATACTTTACATTAAGTGAAATACAAATCTCTCCAAAAGAGGAGATTGAAGTTAATTCACTATTTTTGATTATTAAGGCCAAATTACCAGCTAGAACATTGCATCACCAAGAGAAAAACAAATGAATATAAAATTTGTTGTGCATCAGGTCAAAATTTACCTTGGTTCAACAAGTTTATAAATTAAATTTCCTTTTACAGGGAATGGTAAGGACTATGAAAATGAGTTTTTAGAAGAGAAAAATATACTGAGATCAGTGCTACTTTGCCTACTCCACAGAAAGCTTCAGGTTCCGTACAGAAAACTATGTGGTTTTTCAACTCAAACAAGCACATAGTTTTCTCAACCAGCTACCAATTGTGGCTTATTAGAAGGAAAGCTTTCTACTGACATTGCATTCCTCGTTCAATATCCATAAATGACACCACAATAGTAAGAAATTTCTATCCTAAGAGATTCCATCTTTGATGCAAATCAAAGAAGCTTTATAATCTTTCAATGGCATCTAAAAAAACTGGCATCTCCCCTACTTGCCTTCAGAAATTTTTACCGTCCCCCCCTTTCCCTTCAAAAATTTTAAGACCTCCCAAAAAAACCTCTGCCCCCCCGCTCCCCCGCCCCACCCCCTCCTCCAGTGGTAATCATAATGAATGTAGCCTTGACATTGATAAGTTGAAAATTTGCTTTTGTGGCTGTAAAGACATGAAACTACTAACCAAAGACCAAAACACCTGATAAAAATGCTCACAGAAATGAGCATCACATTAATTTGCAAGGGAGATGTTTGTGGAAAAAAGAAAGTTTCTTGGTGTCGTGGATGGGTGTAATCACCAAAAGACTGAAAAGACACTGGACCATACCCACACAACAACACAAAAGCGAACTAACAATGGTTTCCAAAACACCAAGAAACATGTAGAAAATGTGTTCAACTTAAGGTCATAGTCCAGAATAACTCAAAAGAAAACAGTAGTAATGGCTGTGAAATTTGAGTGGTCAGTGCATCAGACTTGCAATCCGGCGGTCCTAGGTTCGAGTCCCGCTCTCAGGAGCACCCACTGGTAATTTTCGGGAAAATATCTGTTCGGAAGACGATTTGAGATCTAGAGTTTTCGGAGCATTTGTTGTAAAATTTCTTGCTTGCCTGCCTCTCCTAGGATTTTCGAACATCGACAAAATGGTATAATTACCCATTTTTAACGGATTTTGACCCTGAAAAACGCCACCTAGAATTTTCGGGAGCCTTTTCCTGGCTGAAATTTTCGAGAGGGTAAGTTTTTATCCCTATAATTTTCGGATCACTAGACTTTCAGCTAGGAAATCCGAACGGATGAAAAGTTTTTAGGGGATAAAAATATGCCTATATTTACCGTTTGAATACTAAAATACGTTCAACAATGCTATGTTAAGTGGTTTTGAACTATATCCTCGTTGGGTGCCCCTGCGCTCTGGCCACTTGCTGGATTTGTTCTCAGTCATCCCAAGTTCAAATCCTTGGCCATGCTTGTAAATAGCCAACAGATTGCCTCCTGCCAGTTGGGGTTTTTAATCCTGTGATGTTGCATTTGAACTATAGATACAGTATAGATGTAATACTTAGGACAGCAGAACAGATATTTAACAATTATTCTTTGAAATCGAGGTGAATAGTGGCAAAATATTTACCGAGCCACGAAGTGGCGAGGTAAATATTCCTAAAGCCACTATTTACCGAGATTGAAAAGAATCATTGTTTTAGTATATACACACGAAGTGATCTCAACAAAATCAGAGAGGAAACCATTAAAAAGTACGATTTGATTGACAGATCAGGTCAGCTAGACACGCGACAGTTTAATAATAGATCTTTGTAGAATTTTCAAACGTGGCAATTCACAAGCTTACCACTTCGCAAACAACAGCGTAATGACTTAAATGGAACCGCTAAAAGTTTGAATCGTTTCCTTACCTGAGAAGAAAAGAAGAGCTTTGTTGTTTTCTGTTGACTCGCCAAGTTTATAGCCGAAAAGGTTTGTTGTGTCGTTCTTCGCATGAAGTGCTGACAAAAATGGCGAAATTGACTGAAATTGAATGGCGTGAAATTGACTAGAGATCAACTTCCCAGGCATGTTGGCATTTTTTCCAGCATAGTTCACTTATCTAGCAATTACTGTGAAACATACAAAACTGTGAACACCAGAATTATATATGAAATATTATCGTGATGTAAGGAAAGAGCCAATCAGATGCGATAAAATTAAACCACAAACAGCAACCATAGTAAGTTTGTAGTTTACAGATTTGCTCAGGTCCTAAAATTATAATTGTGGTTGGTAACTACACAATCAACATTCCGACACTACATCATCATCGTACATTCCACTATGGCTCAAAATACAGGGTTTCATGCAAATCATTTATTTTTAAACGATACAACCTCTACTATCCAGAATTTTTCTCCTTATAACAATTTTTCGAAATTTTGTTTTTGGAGTAGCCATTGCAAGTAAATAACACCAATGAAAAAGGGGGTCACCTTTCTTTTTTATTGCAACAAGAGGATAAAGGGGCAATTTTGGCTTGAAATGATAATTTTCTAAGAAGGGACTGGGGCGGAGAAACTGCCACCACCTTTGATAATGCAACCTTACTCGCAGTAGGTAATTAAAGCACAGTTCCTGCAACACAAGGGAATTACCTTAATGTGAACTTAACTTTTTTCAGCTTCTTAGGAAATGCGAAGAAGTGGAAGATAAACAGCATACTGCATCAGAACCAAAACCAGAGGCCTTGACTCAGTCGCTTGAAATCATGCGGGAGAAACTTCAGCAAAGATCAGAGGCAGAACATCACCCATTCGCGATCACAGAGCCTACTGCATTTTCAGAGGAAATGCTCAGTCAGTTTCATTGGTCCCCAACAGCACGGATTTATCTTCAAGCTTTCAGACTGGTAAACCAGGGGCTTGAAATTCTGATCAACAGTAACTTTACTGATGAAAGAGGAATTTCTCTTATAGCTCGTGGGTATTTGACTGAAAATTCTATACTACAAACTTTTCCTTATATACATGTTTCGTTGCCTGCAGTTTTTCACCTTTGTGAGAAAAGCATGCAAAAGAACGCAGGTTTCTTTGAAGGCCTTGTAATCACTTGTGGCTTTTATTTTTGTAAAATGAAACTTTCAACCGCGACAGTGAACACTGACGTGAAAAAGGTGATGTGCATAACAAATTTGATTAATTTCATTCAAAAAGCTGAACCTAACAGCCCTCCAGCTGAAGATGCTTTTAGATTTGACCAAAGCTACAGCAGCTGGCTTCATGTCTTATATGACCACTTGGCATCAATTTATATTATTTTCGGTAACTATGAAGAAGCAGCTGAAGCTTTTGAAAATTCCCTGCAGTGCTGTCCAACCTATTTTCCAAGCAAAAGAGGCCTTGGGTACTGTTTGTTGGCTCTGTATGCTGCTAGAGTTAACTCTGAAAAGAAGGACTCTGTAGCCTCAGAAAAGTGCGACATGAAGGAGTTAAAAAGGTATTATGAACTTGGCCAAGATGCTGAAGAAAAAAGGCTGCCTTTCATAGACGCTCTTGATCTGTGTCTCAAGGATATGCTGTCTCCCATCTATCAGCTACTCACTGATTTACCAGAACGGGCCAGGTGTGGCAATAAAGCTTGCACTAAAAAGTTCAAGGAAACTGAGCTGAAGTCCTGTACTAGGTGCCGAACCAAAAAATATTGCAGCAAGTAGGTAGAAATGTAAAATTTAATTATATAATTGAAAACCTGGAACTGCATACCACTCGGCTGTGGTATTTTTGGCTTTATCCAGAAATGGCATTGAACTGTGATGAATGCAGCTCCAAATGTATGGCTCAAGTTTTGCCTTTGTCTGAGCTTTCTCTAGAGCACTTAAGAATCTTCGGGCTCTCCTTTAAAAAATTCCATTTCGGATATTGTTTGGTTATTTAAGGATTTCGATTGACCTGATATCGCCTGGACTGTCAATCGGTCCAGACCTAATTGTGGTAAACATCTGGTTGATATTTAACTATGGTTGACGTAGCGCGTGACCATAAACAACAACGTCTTTAGCCAGACATGACAATGAACTGTCATCACTGGACATCATCATCATCATCATCATCATCATCATCATCATTACCACCATCACCACCACTACCACCATCATTCGTCGTCGTCTCCGTCATCGTCATCGTCATTATTATTATTATTGTTATTATTGTTATTATTATTATTATTATTATTATTATTATTATTATTGTTATTATTGAAATGAAGATTTACTAATCAAGTCATTTATAAGGGGGTAGATGGCTGACCACGACTCGCTGATGACTTGCTGGCCGCGTCCCTCTGCTCTTCTCAGCATCGATTAAGATTCAGATATACAGCCGTTTAGTTACTTTCATGCAAATGCGTTGGTGTAAATATGAGAGCTAAAGCCATGCAATAACTGGCTTAAATGAAAAAGAATTTTAAGTTGATTCATGTAGAACACTAAAAACCATTTAGGGTTGGAAGCTAAGCCAGAAGAGCGGGTCCTGAATGGGCAGGAAGCGAGAAAATTACTGGTCAGGGCTATCAAAAATAGGGAAAACAGTAATATAATTGTACCTGCGATAGGGTTTCTCCGATTTATTAACTTTTTAGGGTCTGTCAAAGAGTAGATTGGAAGGAACATAAAAGTGCTTGCACTGCTTCCCAACAAGACAAGGTAAAGGCCAGCGGTACTTAGGATTATTATACTCTTCCAAATGATTACAGAAAAGGAAAAGTGTGCAGAAAGTTATGTCTAGCTGAAGTTCCAACATCCGAGTTCTGGCCTAAGACGTTCCTATTGTTGACTAAGTAGAAAAATTACAGTGTTCAATGTATGAGAAACGAAACATAGTCTGTTTGATATCGTGTAAATTATCTTTCGAATTGAGTTCACGCGAGGGACTCCCTTGAGATTTCGTGAGTACAATAACTAAAAGGAAAAGAAACCGACCGTTGCTTTTGGCAAATTTTCTTGAGTGTAGCTAAATGTCGTGGGTCGTAGGTAGTGGGTAAAAAAAAAATTAAGAGCGAAAGTCTGTAAATATCGAGCAACCGGCGGCCACGGTCAAAAATTAAATTTCGCTCATATCTTGTCCATACATAATTATTAGTGAGTAGCTAAACGTGGTGTACAGTATGTTGCCCAGTATCCGGACACTTGAAACAAAAACTCAATTTTTGAGGCGCCGTTTTCAGTTTTCGGTAAACGAAGTATTTCGAATGAAAGCTGAACATTTCAGCTTTAAGTTGAAAGTTTTGGCGATTTGAAAGCTTGCGAAACAGTCGAGGAAGACGCCGTTCTGTTCAGGTGAGTAAACCTTTCATGGCTAATATTTACGCTGTTTACTGCGCAGTAAAATTAGTGCTGCTCAGAAAAGGGGGGGTAATGTGTGATATTTTCAAAGAAACTGTTTTATTTTTAACGTGAAGATACTTAAGGAAGTTAGGTTTTCAGAAAGTTTATTTATTCTTCTTGAAATTCGATTTGTTTGGAATAACGGAGGCCAGAAACATTCACTAAGTTTTGATGTCATGTGCCCAGTATCCGGACAGTTTTTTCTTTGCTGTACAGAATCGATGAATTGGCTGTGTACATTATCCGGATTAGATTTATTTCATATCAGTAACTATAATTAAGGCTTAGGATATATGATATAGTCGTAAAATGTAATTCTACTGAACTCCGTATGGAAATTTTCTTCACTCATTCAGAGGCGACTTGATTTCGTGAGCACGGCTTGTTTCGCGTGACTGCATTTTCTGTATATAACTGAAAGCGTCTGAGTTGAACCTGGAATTCTCATACTTTCCCCAGTTGTGACTGCTAGAACGGGGTTGCAACGGTCTGAAAAATGTCAAAAAGGGATTGAGAGATGTGAAAGAAGGAGGAATTAGTGCTAGAAAAGCAGGCTTATTGTGGGGACTGAGCATGAAGAAATCAACACTGCAGGTCAGACTAAATAGGAGAGTGACCTTTGACCGTCGGGTTGAGGTCCCTTCCCCAAGCTTTTCTTTGAATAAAAAATGAAGAAAGTCGTTTGCAGACTGGCTAATTGAGCTTGCAAACTGCGGCTTCGGCATGTCCACGGATGCCTTCCTTAAATCGGTGAAAAAGTTCCTAGACAAGGAAGTAAGAATTATACCATTTTTGAAACAGCCGCTCGGGTTCCCCACCATACCCCAGTCATTTGTTATGTTTTATTTCACAATGCTAGGTTATATTTTTGGAATCGATTGCCAGACTACTTTGCAAGTGCAAGAGAAGCTTATAAGTCGCTTGCCTGTCGAAATTTATGTACAGTTACGTTGTTATTGTTGTGTCCGGATACTGGGCCAGCTGTCCGGATACTGGGCAACATAGGAGCTCTGCAAAAATACTAATTTCGCGATGGAAACAAAGGCAAAAAAGTTAAACTGTCTTTCGTCATATTAAGGACTAGATAGATTTTCTCTGGGCCAAATTTCAGAGCTCTTACGATTAACAAAGGAAAGTTATTGCAATCTTAAACTGAAGTGTCCGGATACTGGGCAACATACTGTAGTTTGTTTTTCAAAAGGCCGCTTGGATTTGGAGAAAATCGGCAAAATCAATTTTCGTGGTCGGTGACTTGAAAACAACCAAAATTTGAGGCAAAATGAGGCGGTCTCAAGCCCTCGCTCGCACGCAAAAAGGAAGAAAGCGTGGTAAAATATTCCCCGATAAATCAATTTATAAAGGGTTTTAGCCCTAGTATGGCGGTTAATTCTTATCTGAACGATAATGTGGAAGGTAAACAATTTTTTTTTAGTTTTGGTTCTTTTTCAACTCAACGAAGTTTAAATTTAGGCTTCAAGTCGCCATTTAATTTTTAGGCACGTGCTACACCTTGGTTTTTCCTGAAACTCAAGCTATAAGTTATTTAACCACTGTGCTAAATTATATGTAAAACTGGCTTGGGTAATTTAATTTGCCCTTCAGAAGAACCTTCTAAACTTGAACAACTTTTGAGTGAAATATGCATAATTCACCAACGCCTTCCTGTTGCCGAAACGGATCATTCGCGTTTCCTGAGAAGAAATCTGATGTACGTCTATACTACGATAATAAATTTGCTAACATGTAATAGAAATTAACTTACCTTTATAGTATGGAGCACTTTTTTTACTTTTTCTATGCTCAAGCTCCAAATTCTGCTAGCGCTAACGCATTTTGTAAATTGGCCGCTAACGAAAGGTCATTGGAGATGGGCCAGGGTATTAATTGAATGTCACTCAAACCAAATGAGCTTTATGATCTAAATTCTTAAGGTGGTTGAACAAAATATATCACGAGAATAATATGTTTTTAGACATTTTCGGCGATTTAAAAGATGCTCTTACCTTTTAATAGAATCAGTTACAACATATAGCGAGTCACAGTATTGCCTAAGTGTGAGAAGAGAAGGAGTGGTGTGGCGTGACAACGAACACCATCCTTCGAACTTAAGAATGAGCAGAAAACAAAATTGCTTATATATTTCTTTGATGTTTCCAAAGTTATTTGTTCAATTACACAACAACTGAAAGGTTGCATAGTCTGGCTGTCAACAGTACTTGATTTAAAAGTGTAAAGTGGTGGTCAGTTTTTCGGGGCCCCTGCGTGATAAAAGCATTGACCAAGGGATTTGGAAAACATCAAAATCATACACCCTTCTAGTACACACGAACAGTGAGTAGGTTTTACTTTGGACAATCTCGATAAATGATCTCGGAAGCTTTTTCTGTTTTGAGTGAAGAATCACAATAAAAAAATCATGTTATTTCTTTCATATGTATATTTTGGGGAAGGGTGGCTCTGAATCTTACTTGGGTACTACCTGCTAAGACTCACATGGAATGGTCGTTGAGAGGATAGAAGAATCCGTCGAAAGGGTTACGCTGTAACTCTTGCTCAAGGATGTTAGGTAAGCAATTCGCTCTAAGCCCTAGCATTTCAAATGCTTGCACAGGCTAACCAGCATTAAAAAACGTACATTAGCACACGCAACTAAGAAAATATTGCAGAGTAATTAAGGAAATGCTATCCAGGCAGGGCGGCCTCGTGGAGTGGTAGATGACGCAGCGCTATTTTCAACTCTACAAACCTCTCCATGAGAGTGAAGACTTAAGGCATGAGTTTCAGTTTTTAGTATTGAATATATACAATGAAGGAAACCTGGGGTCTAGAACGCTGACCTGTTCCTCTCTGATTCTTTTACCAAAGGATACGTCAAAGTATATCCGACAATTTCCTCCTTACAGCATGCTCAGCTACTCAAACAAACTTTAAACCTGACTAAGATGATATACCGCAGATACAGCAAGTTAGAAATCTGGAATCAAACATGTTTACCAATGGGTTTGGCCCTGGCGTCTTCAAATTCACGTTAAAAGGACACTGTTTAGGCAAAAGTATCAAGTTTACTTTTCCAGTAAATTCCGTCTTGAGGCCTTAGACAACGGACCAGGGGCCCGGCCGTTTGTCCAAAGTCCCTATAACTTTTCGGGCCCGAAATCAAATATTCAAATCGAAATAAAAGGAATAGGAGGAGACCGGGTCCTGGCTAGCAAAATGCTCAATTTTTTTCATTAACTGATAGTTTTATCATGTTAAACGCAAAACTATTGAAATTTCTATCTTGCATGTAGACAAGAACAGCTTTAGGGGCCCGTTAATTTTTGGGACTTTCG